GCCCGGGAATGGAGTTCTGGGAACTCGAAGAGCACGAAGTGTGTGACTGTTGCATCCGGTTATTCAGAATGAGCCTGGGAATGGAGTTCTGGGAACTCGAAGAGCACGAAGTGTGTGACTGTTGGTGAAAAACGAGGTGGACACAACCCGCCCGGCAACTCCCAACACCTGCCCGGACCCCCCTGTGGAGTGATCTGCTGCTCTCTTTTGACCCCACTAGAAACCTATCAGTCTTCGCTGTTAGGTAAAAAACACCAATGGTTTTTCAAAAAAAAATGTCAAAATTTCATCCCGCGCGCTCTTGCGGATTCGTAGGATACCCAACACTTTTTAATCATTTCTGTCAAACGGGCTTTTGCGAGCAACTTTTTCGAACTTCTGCAACAACGGTTGCGCACCTGCCAGGGCCATCATCCCTGTCAAATAATACCATGCGGGACACATTCGTTTTTTCTTCGCGCGCGCACGCCGTCGTCGTCGGCCGCGGGGCCCTGAATAGTAGCCACGGTCGTCCGCATGCCACGAAGTGAAGTGTCCGAACGTCATAGGGCGGGAAGCTGGGTGTGGGTGGTGGCGAAGAGTCGTTTGGAAATTTGGTAGAGCTTGAACCGGCCCCCCCACAAAGTGGGGGTATTGCCCGCCTCCTATGAAAACCCTGGCACTGGTGAGAACGGAGTGTCCCCACGTGCTAGTAATTGTTGTTGTTGTTGTTGTTGTTGTTGTTGAACATTATTTATTCTAAAGAATAATTATTGTTGGGCCCCCTGGTGCGCGCCCCCCCTGCGCCGCCTAGGCCGCAGCTACATTTTCATCATTTTCGTGAGGAAGCCTCAGGTAAAACGATGTGTCAGGATCCGGTTGTTTTGTTGTAATCCGCTTTCCCTTGCAAAAAACACTATAAAATGACATTTCTTGTTCTAATATAATCAAATTTCAAGAATCCCTTGCAAAAAATAAGGTAAAGTGGACATTCGCGCGCGCAAGACGAAATCCTTCCAAAAGCTTAGTGTTCGGAGCGATTTTAACATAAAAACATCAAAAAACCAATGGTTTTTCAACCAAAAAATGTCAAAATCTCATCCCGCGCGCTCTTGCGGATTCGTAGGAAACCCAACACTTTTTAAACATTTCTGTCAAACGGGCTTTTGCGAGCAACTTTTTCGAACTTCTGCGACAACGGTTGCGCACCTGCCAGGGCCATCATCCCTGTCAAATAATACCATGCGGGACACATTCGTTTTTTCTTCGCGCGCGCACGCCGAAATCTCCAAAAACCATTGGGCTTCTTAAGAATTTTAGCACCGCGCATCATAAAATCACACGAATCGCACCGTAGGTCCTCGAAAAACACCTGCACGACTTTTCAAAATTTCTACCCGCGCGCGCTGTCCGATTCTACCCGAACGTAGGCTTAACAACTTCTGTGGGTGTGTACTCCACGCCAGTGTAGTAGCCACGGTCGTCCGCAGGCCACGAAGTGAAGTGTCCGAACGTCATAGGGCGGGAAGCTGGGTGTGGGTGGTGGCGAAGAGTCGTGTGGATATTTGGTAGAGCTTGTACTGCCCCCCCACAAAGTGGGGGTATTGGCTGGCGTCGCATGAGAACCCTGGCACTGGTGAGAACACTGAGCGTTCGGGTAAAGTGATTGTTGTTGTTGTTGTTGTTGTTGTTGTTGTTGTTGTTGTTAATGTTGTTGTTGTTAATGTTGTTGTTGGTGTTGTTGTTGTTGTGGTTGTTGTTGTTGTCGTTTTATTGTTGTTGTTAGTGTTGCTGTTGTTGTTGTTGTTGTTCTTGTTGTTGTGGTGGTGGTGGTTGTTGTTGTTGTAGTTGTTGTTGTTGTTGCTGTTGTTGTTCTTGTTGTTGTGGTTGTTGTTGTTGTTGTTGTTGTTCTTGTTGTTCTTGTTGTTATGGTTGTTGTTGTTCTTGTTGTTCTTGTTGTTGTTGTTGTCGTCGTCGTCGTCGTCGTCGTTGTTGTTGTTGTTGTTGTTGTTGTTGTTGATGTGGTTGTGGTTGTAGTTGTTGTTGTTGTTGTTGGTGTTGTTGTTGTTGCTGTTGTTGTATTTTTACCATCTTGGGGTATTTCTTGTCTATGTTTAGTTTTTCGTCCAACATCCCCCCTGTAGGAGGACACGCCCGACCTGAGCTTCGGGTGGGATGCATCGGCACCCCACGGCCCACTCATCGCCGATCGGGGCCCGACGGCTCACCCCGCCCAGCAGCGCTCGGACTCACCACCAGGGGCCCATCGCCGCTCTGTCTGCGATGCCTCGCCGACTCCGGGCCAACGTTTCCCTCCCTGAGTCGTCGGGGGCGGAAAAGAGGGGGGTGATGACTAGGGGGGGGGGTGGATATCATGGCGGGGGCCATGATACTTCCCCAGATCTCATGGCGCCTCTTCTTATTTCATTACGTCCCTGGCCCCCCCGCTGGGGCGCGCACGTGCCGCCGGTCATGATTTGCACCCCCCCCTCTTGGACACCCCCCTCTTGGCCGCTCCCGAAGTCGGCCCCTTCCCTGACGTCGCCCCTCGCTCGAGGCGTCTCAGGGTGGGGGTGAAAGCCAGGGTGTGAGCGCACGTTTGGCTCCCTGGTGCGGATCGCGGTGAAGCCGCCGCCCCTGCAGCAGAGGGCCGACTATGCTGAGCATGCCCCTCCTCTGGTCTGTGTGAACAGTCCGCCCGGGAAGGCACGGTGCCCCCTTGCATAACTCGGCGGCGCGCCCACGGGGATCTTCTCCGAAGGCTCTGAAGGCCTTTGGTCTTCTCAGAAGCTTTCTGAGCCCTCTCCGAAGGCACATGCACTTTCTCAGAAGATGCGAGCGCTTATGAGAAGCTCCGCTGCCTTCTGGGAAGGCCTGCCCGCTCTCACTGCCCCCCTCGGCGCGCCGCCGAGAAGATGGCTGGTTGGGCTGCAATGGTTGCGCTCACGGCGCCTCCATCCTCTTCCTCTGTCCTCTCTTGCTTCGCACTCGTTCAGCCCCTTGCTTCCGGTGACGAGCTCAGGATGTTCAGGCTTACTTCATATCATTCGTGTTGGTGGGAACGCGACGTTCGATGATAAAACATAGGGTTGTGAGCTATTAGCTGGTGGGCTCTGCGACATGCAATAACCTCCCCCCTGCGCAGACCGACAACTTCAAACGCGCGAGTGCAATGCCATGACGTAGCTAGGTGGGTCATTGAGGGGGAGGATGAGACAGGACGAGGCAGAAGGAGGCAGGAGAAGCACCGACCACGAGGATGACGATGATGGTGATGACGATGATGTTGATGAGGACGATGATGATAATGATGATGCTGATTACGATGATGATGCTGATCATGATCATGATGATGCTGATGATGTTGTTGCTGCCGATGACGATGACGATGCTGAGGATGATGTTGAAGATGATGCTGATGATGATGAATATGATGCTGCTGCTGATGATGAGGATGATGATAAGGATAATGATGCTGATGATGATGATGAGGATGAGGATGAGGATGATGATAATGAGGATAAGGATCAGGATGAGGATGAGGATGCTGCTGCTGCTCATGCTGATGCTGATGATGATGACGATGATGATGATGATGATGCTGATGAGGGTGACGATGACCATGATCATGATAATGATGATGCTGCTGATGCTGATGATGCTGACGACGGCGATGATGATGACGATGTTGATGTTGTTGATGATGATGCTGCTGATGAAGATAATGACGATGATGCTGATGACGACGATGTTGATGATGCTGATGATGATGATGATGCTGGTGGCGATGGCTGTGCTACCTGCGAGCAAGATAACGACGGCGATGTCGACACCGACTACGGCGATGATGACGGTAGTGGTGGTGGAGATGATGCTGATGATGATGATGATGTTGATGGTAATGACGATGGTGATGGTGCTGATGATGTTGATGATGATGATGATGATGATGATCGTGATCGGGATAATGATGACGATCCTGATTATGCTGATCTGCTTATGATGATGCTGAGAAGGCGAATGATGCCGATGATGATACTGATGATGATGCTGTTGCTGATGATGATGATGATGATGATGATGATGATGATGATGATGATGATGACGATGGCGATGATGCTGGTGTTTCCGATGATGCTACTGGTGATTCTGATGGCACTGACGACGACAAAGACGGTGAGGCAGATGATGCTGATGAGGATGGTGATGCAGCTGATGATGCTGATGACGCTGACGATGACGCTGATGATGAGAATGATGATGATGATGATGATGATGATGATGATGATGATGATGATGAGGATGATGATGATGATGATGATGTTGATGATGATAATGATGATGATGCTGCTGCTGATGATGCTGGCGACGACGACGACGACGACTTCAGTGATGGTGTCAATGATGGTGCTGCCCATGATGAGGCTGATGCTGTGTATGATGTAGAAGAAGCTGCGGATGATGACGATGAATCGGCGGTTGCTGGTGCTTATGATGACGCTGCTGTTGTCGATGATGCTGCTGATGATGATGATGCTGCTGTTGTTGATGATGATGCTGATACGGATGGCGATGATGCTGCTGCTGATGCTGATGTTGATGATGCTGCTGCTGATGACGATGACGACGACGCTGGTGATGATGATGGTGCTGCTGATGCGGATGATGCTGATGATGCTGCTGATGATGATGATGCTGCTGCTGCTGATGATGGTTCCGATTCTGATTCTGGTTGTGATTATAGCTGTGCTTCTTATTATTTGTCTTTAGTCTTGGCATTTTTTGAGTATTCGTATCGTTACTATTTGTATTGCTGTGATGGCGAGGGGTCCAATGTGGAGCATGGGGAGTTCAGGGATCAGGACGGTAAGGGTTGGGGAGACGAGAAAGGGGAAGCGGGGGAGGATGATGAGGACGACCAGCATGGGGCAGGAGGGGGAGCAGACGGTGTAGGAGGACGAGGAGGAGGCGGAGGAGGAGGATGCAGAATGCGGTGCTGATACCTACCTCCCCGTTGTCAGGTGCGTGCTCACTGGCGGACTGGAGAAACTCGAGGTCTGGTCGTTGCAGACGTCAACGAGGCCGAGGGGGCGTGGTTACGGAGGATGTGGAAATGCCTAGCGTCGGCATGATGAGGAGGAGGAGGAGAAGGAGAAGGAGGATGATGATGATGATGAGGAGGAGGAGGCGACGACGATGCGGATGATCAGGCGGATCGATGAGAAGGTGGGGATGCTGATGATGCTGATGATGATGATGATGAAGATGTTGATGCTGATGATGCTGCTGATGCTGCTGATGATGATGATGCTGATGCTGACGATGCTGCTGATGATGGTGATGATGATGAGGAGTACGATGATGGTTTCGCTGATGCTGCTGATGATGCTGCTGATGATGATGCTGTTGATGGTGATGTTGTTGATGAAGATGATGAGGACGCTGATGATGGTGATGATGCTGAGGATGCTGACGATGCGGATGATGCTGATGATGATGCCGCTGATGATGATGATGATGATGATGATGACGCTGTTGATGGTGTTGACGACGATGTTCATGATAATGATGATGCTGAGGAGGATGCTGCTGCTGCTGCTGATGATGATGATGATGATGAGGATGTTGATGCTTGGAATGATGAGGATTATGCTGCGGAGATATGGGAAGTGGGGAATACTGATGATTGTGATGATGATGACGCTGATGCTGATGCTGCTGATGATGCTGATACCGATGCTGCTGATGGTGATGATGTTGCTGCTGATGAGGGCGATTATGTTGATGTCGATGATGCTGATGCTGATGGTGCTGCTGCTGCTGATGATGGTGATGATGATGATGATGATGATGATGATGATGATGGTGATGATGATGATGATGATGATGATGATGATGATGATGCTGGCGAACGTGCTGATGATGTCGATGATGCTCATGCTGCTGATGATGATGACGCTGATGCTGATGCTGCTGATGATGATGGTGCTGATGATGATGCTGCTGATGATGATGTGGATGATGATGGTGATGGTGATGGTGATGGTCATTATGGTGATGATGCTGAGGATGATGATGCGGATGCTGCTGCTGATGATGCTGCTGCTGATGATGAGGATGATAGTGATGAGGCTGCTGCTACTGCTGTTGATGATGTTGATGGTGATGCTGATGCTGATCCTGACGCGTTGATGATGATGATGATGATGATGATGATGATGATGATGATGATGATGATGATGATGATGATGATGCTGGTGATGAGTGCTGATGATGGTGATGTTGATGATGACGATGGTGGTGGTGGTGGTGGCGGTGATGAGATGATGCTGAGGAGGAGGAGAAGGATGAGGATGAGGCTAGGAGGAAGAGGAGGAGGAGAAGGCAGTTTATGATGATGATGGTGAGGAGGAACGGGAGGAGGAGAAGGAGAAGGGAAAGGATGGGGAGGAGAAGGAGGAGGACGAGGAGGAGGAGGATCAAGACGGGCCGGAAAGGAGGATGAGGACAATGAGGATGACGAGGATGACGGAGGAGGGTGTCGGGGCTGGGCAGGACGGGGAGGGGCGGGAGGGATGATGATGCTGCTGATGATGATTATGACGATGATGATGATGATGATGAGGATGCTGCTGATGATGATGATGATGATGATGATGATAATGTTGATGATTCTGATGACGATGATGATGCTGATGATGATGCTGATGTTGATGATGGTGAGCAATACGACCATGATGATGATACTGATGATGATGAGGCTGAGGATGAGGATGAGGATGAGGATGATTATGATGATGATCATGATGATGATGCTGATGACGAAGATGATGATGCTGATGATGATTATGCTGATGATGATGAGGATGATGATCAGGAGCAAGAGCAGGATGAGGATGAGGAGGAGGATCAGGAGGAGTAGAGGGCGGGGGAGGATGATGAGGAGGGTGATCATGCTGATTTCTGATGGCGATGATGGCGACGGCGACGATAGTGATGGTGGTGGTGGTGGTGGTGGTGGGGGTGGTAATGATGATGAGGATGGTGGTGGTGGTGGTGATGATGATGATCATGGTGATGATGATGACGATGATGATAATGATAATGATGATGATGATGTTGTTGTTGATGATGACGAGGATGAGGATGAACAGGAGGCTGGTGTTGATGAGGCTGCTGCTACTGTTGATGAGGTGACGAGGAGGGGAAGGATGGAACGGACATGATGGTGATGGCGGTGACTGTGGTGGCGATTCTGATGCTAATGTTGTTCGGTGCCAATGATGATGGTGGTGTGGATGATGACGGTGCTGATGATGAGGAGGGTAGGGAGCTCAGATGAGGAGAAGGAGGATGAGCAGGAGGAGTATGAGTATGAGGATGAGGATGGTGATGCTGCTGATGATAATGGCGATGATGATGATGCTGATGAGGTTGATGATGGTGATGATGATGATGATGATGATGGTGGTGATCATGCTGATGGTGATGATGATGGTGATGATGACGACGATGATGCTGATGCTGCTGATGATGGTCATGACGGTGTTGATGATGGTGGTGATGAAGATGGTGCTGATCAGGATGATGATGATGATGATGATGATGATGATGATGATGATGATGATGATGATGATGATGATGATGGCGGTAATGCTGATGACGATGATGATCATAATGCTGATGATGCTAGTGGTGATGCTGCTGATGATATGCTGATGCTGTTGATGATGATGATGATGATGATGGTCATGATGATAATGATGGTGTCGACGATGATTTCGATGATGATGCTGACGATGATGATGCTGACTATGATTGTATTGATGAAGATGATGATGATGATGATGGTGATGATGATGATGATGATGGCAACTATGATGTTTGTCATGATGATGATGACGATGATGATGATGATGATGCTGACGATGATGATTATGATTATGCTGATGTTGATGATGATGGTGGCCGTTGTTGTTGTGATGTGATGATGCTGAGGATGCTGATCGTGAGTATGTGCGGTATGATGATGCTGCTGATGATGATCTTAATGATGATGATACTGATGATGATGATGATGACGACGTCGACGACGACGAGGAGAAGGACGACGACAAGGACGATGATGATTATGATGATGATGATGCTGATGATGATGATGATGATGATGATGATGGTGATTAGCATTGGTGATGGTGATGATGCTGCTGTTGATGATGATGCTGCTGATGCTGATGATGGTGTCGATGGTGATTATTATGATGATACTGATGACGATGATTATGATATTGATGATGATGCTGCTGATGATGCTGATGATGATGATGCTAATGACGATGACGATGATGATGGTGATGATGATGCTGCTGATGATGATAATTATTACGATGGTGCTGACGCTGATGATGGTGATGTTGATGATGATGTTGCTGATGGTGAGGATGAATCTGATAATGGGGATGAGGATGAGGATGGGGATGGTGATTGTGCTGCTGCTGATGATGATGATGGTGATAATGATGATGTTGATGATAATGATGATGATGATGATGATGATGATGATGATGATGATGATGATGATGATGATGATGATGATGATGATGATGATGATGATGATGACGATGCTGCTAGACGAGGAGGAGGATGAGGAGGAGGAGGATGAGGAGGTGGAAGAGGAGGTGGAAGAGGAGGACGAGGAGGATGAGCATACGGGGAAGGAGGATAAGGCGGATGATTGGGTGCAAGAGTGGGGGAGGAGGTCGAGGCGGAGCAGAAGGAGCAGGGGCGTAACAGGAGGAGGGCGAGGCCGCTGGACGTGTTATCCTGGGGATGGCCCTACAGCGCCCGGCACCCGCCACTGCTTAGCTGGCAATACCGTCGAGCGTGCACGTCGTTTGGTTCGTCGCGGGGCCCCACACCATCGTCGTGCTCTCGGCGGTGCTCAGGAGTAAGTTTTTGTCCAGGCACAGAAAGGGCCGCCACGTGAGCAGGGGGAGGAGGAGGAGGAGGTGTTCGCCGGCTCCCGTTCAACGAGCTCCAGCCGCCCGCGCGCGCCGCTGGAGGAGGAGGAGGAGGAGGAGGAGGAGGAGGAGGAGTAGAAGAAGGAGGATGATGATGAGGAGGAGGAGAAGGAGGAGGAGAAGGAGAGGGGGAGGAGGAGGAGGAGGAGGAAAGAGGAGTGCGGCTAGGCGGGTGCTGAAGTAGGACTAGGAAGATGGCGAGGAGGGGTGAAGCACGATGAAGATAATGATTGAGGAAAATGTGAAGGAGTTGGATGAGGAGGAGGAGGATCAGGAGGAGGAGCAGCATGATGGAGAAGAGCATGAGAAGGAGGATGACGAGGAGGACGATGTTAGAAGGAACCAGAACCCGATGACGAGGACGTTGGGGACAAGGAAAATGATGAGTAGATTATGATGTTGATGACGATGCTGATGGTGAGAGTACTGGTGGTGGTGATGCTGACGATGACGATGACGATGACAATGACGACGGTGATGATTGTGATGCGGATCGTGCGTGTCACGTCGATGTTGATGACGGTTATGTTGCTGAGCGTAGGAACAGTGAAATTGGCCATGACCGGGATATTGTGATGACGATGCTGATGTTGCTGACAGTGGTCGTGATGATACGGAGGTCGAGGGAGAGGAAGATGAAGAGGAGGAGAAGGAGGAGGAGCAGGAGCAGTTGGAACGTGCATAACGATGAGGAGCAGGGGAGGAGAATGAGGAGGGGAATGAGGAGCAGGAGGAGGAGGAGGAGGAGGAGGAGGAGGAGGAGAAGGGGGAGGAGAAGGGGGGAGAACACAATAATGCAAAGGTGGAGAACGAGGACGGAGGAGTGGGAGGGAAGAGTCAGGAGGACGGGGATGAGGCTGATGATGAGGACGATGACGACGATAACGGTGAAGATGATGCTACAGATGATACAGATGTTGCACGTAAAGATGGGGAAACGTAGGTGATGGTGGCGATGGTGGTGAAAACGGTGATGGTAGTGGTGCTGACGATGGTGATCATGACCATGATTGCGATGACGACGGTGACGATGATGAGGATAATGATTATGCTGATGATGATGACGGCGACGACGATGACGATGGCGACGATGATGCTGATGTTGCTGATTAGAATGATGAGGATGATGATGATGATGATGATGATGATGATGATGATGATGATGATGATGCTGTTCCTGATGCTGAGGTCGTTGACGCCGACAAAGGCCACGATGCCGACTACCATGGCGATAGCGATGATGACGATGAGGATGATCATGGTGATGATGATGATGACGATGATGCTGATGCTAGTGATGGTGATGGCGATGATGATGATGCTGATGATGATGCTGCTGCGGCTGATGATGTCGATGATCATCATGATGCTGGTGCTGATCATGATGCTGCTGATAATGATGATGTTGATGGTGATGATGCTGATTATGATGATGATGCCGATGATGCGGATGATGATGGCTACATCTGATTCGCATGGCGATGGCAGTGATGATGATGCGGTTTATGATGATGATGCTGATGGTGCTGCTGCTGATGAAGATGATGATGATGCTGATGATGATGATGATGATGATGATGATGTTGATGATTCGGGTGATTCTGATGATGATGATGATGCTGATGGTGGTGATGGTAATGCTGCTGCTGAGGATGATGCTGCTGGTGGTGGTGGTGATGATGATTATGCTGCTCAGCATCATGATGATGCTGATGATGCTGACGCTGATGCTAATGATGATGGTGCTGCTGCTGATGCTGATGGTGACGATGATGCTGATGGTGGTGGTGATGCTGATACTGATGCTACTAGTGACGATGATGATGATGATGTTGATGTTGAAGATGCTGGTGATGATGCTGCTTATGCTGATGATGCTGATGCTGATGCTGATGCTGCTGATGATGATGCGGATGCTGATGATGCTGACGATGATGATGATGCTGATGCTGGTGATGATAATCATGATGCTGATGGTGATGATGATGATGCTGTTGGTGATGATGATGATGATGATGATGATTATGATGATGATGCTGATGATGATGATGATGATGGTGATGCTGATGGTGGTGATGATGATGATGATGGTGATGGTGATGATGATGGTGGTGATGATGATAATGCTGATGATGATGGTTATTCGGATGCTGATGCTGATGATGATGATGCTGATGCTGATGCGGCTGCTGATGCTGATGACGATGATGATAATGATGATGTCGATGACGATGACGCTGGACATGAAGGCGATCATGGTAATGCTGGCGGCGATGATGACGACAGTGATGACGGGATGGTGATGAGCATGTTGATGGTGGTTATGACGGCTAATTCTAACGATGTTGTGATGTCAATGATGCCGTCGCTGATGTTGATCATTAATATGATGATGGTGATTCCGAGCCAACACATGCGATGATGGCGTTGAGTATGATGCTGATGATCTGACGGTGATGGGGTCAAAGGGAGTGATGGCGAATGTGAAACTTGAGGTGGATGAGTAGGGGGAGTAAGGAGGACAGAGGAGGAGGAGGAAGAGGATGAGGATGAGGATGAGGAGGAGGAGGAGGAGGAGGATGAGGAGGAGGGAGGAGGAGGAGGAGGAGGAGGAGGAGGAGGAGGAGGAGGAGGAGGAGGAGGGATGAACAGGAGGCGGAGGAGGAGGAGGAGGAAGAGGATGGACACATCATATGAGGGCGGAGGCAGAGGGAAACGACGAACGGAGAAGGAACAGGATGAAGAGAGGGAGGAGGAACACCACTTTGCGCCTGCCTAGTCTTCCGCGCGCGCGGCCCAGCGCCAGCGAAGCGGAGCAGCGCCTCACGCGGACGGTGAGTCTTTACAAGGATTCGGCGGGGGGATTCCTTCTCTGCGCGGCTCTTGACGACGGCGGCGGCGGCCATTGCGACGGTGGCGGCGACGGCGGCGACCACCGATCCCTCTGCCCCCCCCCCATCTTCCCTCTTCCTCCGTGGGGGAGCGAGGAGGAGTCAGTCGGAGAAGGTGGAGGAGGAGGCGGCGGAGGAGGGAGAAGGAGGAGGAGGAGGACGAGGAGGAGGAGGAGGAGGAGGAGGCGGAGGAGGAGGAGAAGGAGAGAGGAGGAGGAGGAGGAGGAGGAGGAGGAGGAGGCGTTGGGATGAGGAGGAGAAGGAACATGGAGGAGGAGCAGCTGGAGGAGAGAGGAATGCAGAGAAATAATAATCATACGAAAATGAATCTGATTGGGATGAGGATGGTAATGATGATGCTGCTGATGATGATGCTGATTCTGATGATGACGACGATGGTGGTGGTGGTGGTGGTGGCGATGACGATGATGATGTTGGTGGTGGTGATGCTGATGATGAGGATGATGATTCTGATGATGACGATGATGATGGTGGTGGTGGCGATGATGATGATGCTGGTGGTGGTGGTGGTGCTGATGATGAGGATGATGATTCTGAGGAGGAGGAAGGAGGAGGAAGGAGGAGGAGAAGGGATTTGGGGGTGAATGCATTAATTGCGATGACAGCGACGACGACGATGATGATGCTGCGGCGATGGTGGCGATGACTATGGTGATGATGATGATGGCCGTAGTGATGACGATGACGATGACGATGATGGTGATGGTGATGCCGATGATGATGATGATGATGACGATGATGATGATAATGACGAGGATGATGATGTTGGTTCTGTTGTTGATGGTGATGATGATTATGCGAGTTGGGATTATGATGATGACGATGGTGTTGATGATGATGCTGCTGATGATGCTGATGCCGATGGTGCCGATGACGATGAAAAGATACTGCTGCTGCCAGCGACGATGATGATGAAATTGATGCTGACGATGACGATGCTGATGATGATGATGATGATGATGACGATGATGATGATGATGAGGATCATGATAATGCTCCTGCTGATAAGGGTCATGATGGTGATGATGTTGATGATGATGAGGATGATGCTGATGCTGTTGCTGATAATGATGATGATTGTGGTCATCATGATGATGTGATGATTAATATGATGATGCTGATGCTGATGCTGATGCTGCTGCTGATGATGATGCTGCTGATGATGACGATGATGATGATGATTATGATGATGATGATGATGATGATGATGATGATGATGATGATGATGATGATGATGATGATGATGATGCTGATGATGATGATGATGTGCAACATTCGTTTCGTTTGTGTGCACTTCCCGGTTTCTGCCATTGCCGTTGCCTGCGCTTACTCCCTCTGCCCGTAACCTTGCTTTGATATACGCCCAGATATTGGCACTAGTCGCAAGACGGGCTTGGAACAAATAGTCATTTGCCATCAGCGCCGACTTGCGCGCTGCATTGGCAGCGGAGCGTATATTCCGAGCTCCCTCGCACGAGAACCCTCGTAGACAGACAGTGACCCGACGGACACTCCCGTGCTGAGTCGTACAGTGTCCGACGCATCTTGCATGTATCGCACGACGGCTTGCCGCGGAGCTGCTGCTGCTGCTGAGAGTTCTCGCAGCGACGCCGGACCCGCTCGACCTCGCCGTTATCGTGGCCGCAGTGGTGGCCGCCCCTCGGCTGCGGCGGCAGCAGCTGCCGAGCCAGCCGACGATGACGACGACGAGGACTGGCTCCAGGAGGCTGAGCCGGAGGCCGATGGTGGAGACGGAGATGAGCACGACGCCGAGTATGAGGACGTCCCATCCGAGGTGCCCCAGAGCTCGGCGGAGTTTAGACGCGCACATGGTGAACGTCAGAGGTAGCGTGGTTGACCATGCCCAACTCCGCCTCCCTTGGAGGCCCGGGTTCAGTTCATTCACAAGCAGCCGAGATATTATCAGAAGTGGATCCGAAAAGTTCAGATTTGGAAGACCAGGGCGCGTCACTACAAGCCGATCGCGGAGCTGGCCGTGGACTTAGCAAACGTCATCACCGGTGGGGGCGCCGAAATGATCGAATCGCTGAAATGGACGAGGCTCTACTCTCATGACGGCATCGACTGATCCTGACCTCCTTCGGCATGTTTGACGAACAAATCCTGCAGCTAGGCGACCTCGTGGAGGAGTATGAACAGGTGGAACGGTTTCCTGGCGAGCTGCTCGCTGCGTACATCGCCCACTTCAAAGATCTGGAGATGAGGCTGAAGCGCGCCGAGTTGCCAGACTAGCAAGGCCAACTTCGAGCCTTAAAGCTGCTGAGGAGCGCGTGCCTGTCCCCCGAGGTGAAGCGCAATCTCCTGTTGGCCACGGGCGGTGAGTACGACTTCGACCGCCTTGTCCAGGCCATGAGCGTGCAGCGGCCTTCGACAGCACCAAGCTGGGTCGCCCCAGTACGGCTGATGACACGCAAGAGGCTTGGCGAGTCGGCTCCTCAGGAAAACCGACGAGATCCAGGCAGTCGAAATGACAGAGGCAGTGGCGAAGGCAGAGACCGACAAGGAGGACGAGCTCATCGACCAGCGCCTAAGCCACCCCACATTGGCGAGGCCGACATCGACGGAGAAGACGGAAGGCGAACCAGAGGATGATAACGACATCGAGACGGCCGAGGTGAACGAGGCCGACCTCGACTAGACGGACGCCACCGCGGTCATGCAGGAGGTGACCAACGCACTGACGGTCACGAGCGACAAGCTGAAGAGGATGACCCCAGGCCGAGGCTGGACTGGTCGTGCGCCGGTTCCTAAGCCAGGCGATCGCCGTCCACCACCTCCACCGTCGACGCCTGGTGGATCGACATCGGCGCTGGCAGCGGGACAGACGGCGGCCCCATTATCACGGCCTTCGGCGGCCACGTCCAGCGCGCCACAGAGAGGAACCGCATCGCCGCCAGCAGGTGCGTTTTTCTCAGGTAGTAGCCGTGGCACCTTCACGGGCTCATGTTCGAGCAACTCATGAGCCCCGACTTCATCGTTCAAACTAGGCTTTCGCTCGAACCAAACCCGACCCAAGTAACAGGGACAAGATGGACTGGGCTCGCGCTGTCCATGAGATGACCATCGATGAGGAAGCCCGTCCTGGAGGAAGATGACGAGCATGCCGCCGACATGGTGGAGCACGAGACGTTAGTTACGCACCCGCTTCACGACTCGTCAATCTTTGTACTGCTCTCCTCTGCCCCCTGATCGTGTCCAGCGGTGCCGCCGCCTCTATTTCGGGCTTTTCTTCTATCGTTCGATCATTACATTCGATTACTTGATAATTCCGATGATTCTTTGAACGGAACGTTCTCGGTCCTTCGAAAGATGTGTTTCGGGGTGCAGCATTGGACCCATGACACGATAGTCTTTCTGTTCCCGTCATTCAAAATGGCACTCTCGCCCCAGCGCTTGGGGCCAAAATTCTGGATCGTACTGTTTCCTCGTCCTTGCCGCCCCCCTCCTTTCCCCTCCGCCTTCCCCTGACCTTCCTGTTCCTCCTTCTCCTCCTACTACTGCTCTGGTTGCTACTGCTGGTGCTCCTCATCTCATCTTCCTTCCTCGTCCTCCTCCTTTTCCTCCTGCTTGTCCTCCGTACAAGAGGCCCCCTCCCCACTTATTTGCGCATCCCACAATGGGGTCATTTGGGGGATCATGGTCCCCCAGGACTCGGCGGGTACACAATAATTCAGCAACAATAGAAAAGGAACGGGTGGGAAGGGTGAGATGCCAGGTATGGTGCGAGCGCACCAACCTTGCCCCTTCCCTTCTGAGGTTTACGGATGGGAAAGAAAATGGGCCTTACCCGACTTCGGCAAAGTTATGCCCACCGTCAAATGCATTAGCGCTACGCTGCGATCCTCATCCCTCGCTGCCCCCTATTCCCTCCTCCCTGCCCCTGCTTCTTCCTTCTTGCCCCCCGCTCCTCCTCCCTCCTCCCTCCTCCCCCCTCGTCCCTCTCCCCTCTCCACTCCTCCCGTCCTTCTCCTCGCTTTTCCCCCTCCCTTCCCGTCTCTTCCTTCCCGACCCTTCCCCATACACGTGATGTCTTGATTTTTTCAATGCGCGGTCCCCGGAAGACCCGACCCTTCCCCCGGGGCCGGTTGCCCATCCCGAATCGCAGCCGCTCTTGGCCGCAAGCCGCCCTCGCTGCGCCAGGCCAGCGCCACAGCAGCCGCGGGGCGCTCGCGCCTCCTCCTCTTCCTCCTCCTCCTCGCTTCTCCTTCTCCTCCGCCTCCTCCTCCTTCTCCTCCTCCTCTTCCTCCTCCTCCCCGCTCCTCGTCGTCGTCGTCCTCCTCGCTCCTCCTCGCTCCTCCTCCTCCTCCTCCTCCTCCTCCTCCTCCTCCTCCTCCTCCTCCGCTTCCTCCTCGCTCCTCCTCCTCTCTCATCGCTCATCGCTCTTCCTCTCCTCCTCCTCCTCCTCTTTCTCCTCCTCGTCCTCCTCCTCCTCGTCCTCCTCCTCCTCCTCCTCCTCCTCGCTCCTCCTGCCCGCTCCTCCTCGAAGATCCTCCTCCTTGCTCCTGCTTCTCGCTTCTGTCTCTTTGCTCCTCGCTCCTCGCTTCTTGCTCCTCGCTCCTCGCTCCTCGGCCCTCGCTCCTCCTCCTCCTCCTCCTCCTCCTCCTCCTCCTCCTCCTATACGAGCTGAGGGTGAAGCGATTTAGTCTGGCTACCTCTGGCCAATCATTGGGGATTTTGATTGGGAGATCTGGACAAGAGAGTTCCTGGGATGGGCCTGTCAAGGCCCTCACCTCGCGCGCCCTGAAGATCGGTTGCGTGGGGCAGCTTCTTGGGCAACACATTTTGTCGTACAACACTTTTGGCTTTCCCGTTATGTCGTATGTTGTCCAATTTCGCCTTCTGACTCGGAAGATCCTGAAGGCCGAAAACAATGCTGTCCAGCTCCTGACGGCTGGACCCAGGAATACGATGTCCACCCCCAT